TGTCTCAAAAAGACAAAATAAATAAATAAAGAGATTTCATTTAAACTTTAAAGTGCAAGTGCATGTATACAGGATTTGAAAGGCCAGACTTTGACAGAGTGTGTGGTGTGGGTTAGATACGGTTTGTGTGTGACCCGCAGAGGTTCTTGTGCTGGAGGCTCCGTCCCCAAATGGACGATGTTAAGGTCATGGAACCTTTAAGAAGCCGCCCTAGCTGGGCGTGGTGGCGCACGCCTGTAATCCCAGCACCTGGGAGGCTGAGGCAGGAGGATCGTTGCGAGTTCGAGACCAGCCTGGGCTACAAAGTGAGCTCAAGGCCAGCCTGAACTGCATAGCGAGACCCTGCCTCAAAAAAAGCCAAAAAAAAAAAAAAAAAGTGGCCCTAGGAGGGCATGGGGGCACAAGCCCATAGTCCCATCAATGGAGAGGCTGAGGCAGGAAGAGCTGCATAAGTTCAATAGTCTGTGTTACATACCAACCTGAAAGAAAGAAAGAAAGAAAGAAAGAAAGAAAGAAAGAAAGAAAAGAAAGAAAGAAAGAAAGAAAGAAAGAAAGAAAGAAAGAAAGAAAGAAAGAAAAAAGAACAAAAGGATAAGAGGTAGGGCCTTCGGGAGGTAATTAGGTCAGGGCAGCATTGCTTGGCAAGGGATTAATCCTACTCCTGTTGTGATTCTGCTCTTGTGAAAGTGGCTGTTACAAAAGTCTCTCTCTCTCTCTCTCTCTCTCTCTCTCTCTCTCTCTCTCTCTCTCACACACACGCACGCACGCACGCACGCACGCACGCACACACACACACGCCCTGACCCCGGCAGAAGCTGGCAGGTGGAGGCGCCCTGGTCTGGGGCTCCCAGCCTCCAGAGTGGTGAGCTAGATCAACCTTTTTGCACACAGACCAAGCCGCCTCGGGTGCACTGTTACAGCAACAGGGAGGGACGAAGGCCCCGTGTTCAGCACAGCGAGCGGTGCCAGCTCTGCTTCTCTTCGGGCCTCTCCCGAGTGGCTCCGTGTCCACGATTCAGTGCTGGTGACTGCAGCTCTCCTTTGCTGATTCTTTTCTTTCTTTTTTCTTTTTTTCTTTCTTTTTTCTTTGTTTTTTTCTTCTCTTTCTTTCACTTGTTTGTGTTTGTTTGTTTTGTTTTGTTGAGACAGAATCTCACTGTATAGCCCAGGCCAGCCTCCAACTCGGGGCAATCCTCCTGCCTCAGCCTCCCAAGTGCTGGGATGACAGGAGTGTGCCAGCTCAGCCGGCTGGCCACACTGCTTTTGCGCCTGTAGCAAGGCAGCACCTCCTGGTGGAAAGCAGGATAAATCCCTCACCTCTGGGTAGAGAAGAAAAGAGAGGGCACCAAGCCAGCGTCCATCCCACGCTGGAGAGAAATCACTGCGTCTCTAATAAGACCAGCGCAGCGCCCGGTGCTCGGTGAGCTTGCTCTGAGGAGGAGGCCCGGCCACAGTCCCTGCCGCTCCACTCACTGCCCTGTGACCTTAGCGTTGTCACTTCTCCTTTCTGTGCTGTGCCCTGGGGACAGGGCAAGGCTACCTGTGACTCAGACCCCTGCGGGCCGGAGCCTCTGAGTCAATGGGAAGAACCAGCCAAGAGGCTAGACTGAGAGGTCAAGGCTGGGGGTCTAGACTGGGTGCAGGGCATGATATGTAGGCCCAGTTACTTGGGAGGCTGAGGCAGGAGGATCCTTTGAACTTGGGAGTTCAAGGCCAGTTTGGGCATGAATGTAGGTATGATATTCTCAGTCTTTATGTCTTTGAAGAATCGAGGATGATTCTGGTCCTTGTGATTTTTTTTTTTTTAAGCAATATTCAGAAGCGAGCCCAGGGCCTTTTCAATGAGCTAAATCCCCATCTCTTTTTATTTTTCATTTTTGTTTGTTTGTTTGTTTGTTTCCAGTACCGGGAATCAAACTCACAACCTTGCGCTTGCCAGGCAGGCACTGTGCCGCTGAGCTAAATCCCCAGCCCCTTTATTTTACATTTTAAGACAGAGTCTCACGAAGTTCCCCAGGCTGGGCTCAAACTTGAGATCCTCCTGCCTCAGCCTCCCCACAGTGCTGGAATGACAGGCATGTACCATGCCCGCTGTCTTTCTCCCTTCTTTTCTTCCTTCCTTCCTCCCCCTTTCAAAGAGATGGGACAGGGTCCCACTGTGCTGCCTCACTGGCCCCCAACTCCTGGACTCAAGTGATCCTCCTGCCTCAGTTTACTGAGGAACCAGGACCGCAGTTGCCTGCCGCCCCATGGGACGGACACTGACAGATAGCGTTTAAGCGTAGGGCAGTGCCAGCCGGGCAGACATCATTTGGGTGAAACACCCGGTTGGCATTTGGGTAACGTAGCTTTGCCTAGTTTTATTTTATTTATTTTATTTTTTTGAGACACAGTCTCTCTATGCAGTTCAGGCTGGCCTTGAGCTCACTTTGTACTCCAGGTTGGCCTCGAACTCGCAAGGATCCTCCTGCCGCAGCCTCCCAAGTGCTGGGATTACAGGCCTGCGCCACCACACCCAATGGGATTTTGCCTAATTTTAACAGTCACATGTTCACTTTGTCCAGATTCCAGTGTCAACACCTATAAAGTAGCAAATGGGGCTGAGCTGGTACTGCACACTTGTCATTTCAGTACTTGGGAGGCTGAGGCAGGAGGATCCCAAGTTCAAGCCCAATCTGGGGACATTAGCAAGATCCTGTCTCAAAATAAAAAATAAGTGCTCGCTTTGGCAGCATATATGCTAAAATTTTTTTTTTTAAAAAATGCAAAGGGCTGAGGACATAGCTCAGTTCAAAGGCCCTGGGTTCAAGGCCCAGTACTGCAAAAATAAAAATAAAAGCATTTGTAGGCTACAGGTGTAGCTCACTGGTAGAGCGTGTGGTTGTGTGTACAAGGCCCTGGGCTCCATCCCCAGCACCACTGTAAGTAAATAAATAAATAAATAGGCTCTTGTTCCTGGGAGCAAGTCCCGTTTATCCAGAAACATGTCTGCATACATAGGGCACACGTGAACGAGATCATTACACGCAGTGTTGGTGGAGGACCGAGAAATGGCTGCAGGCGATCCAGGCAGCCCTCGGTGGAAGCTGGTTCCGGGTTCTGCACAGGTGGGGGTCTCTGAAGCCACAGAAAGACTTGGCAGCCGTCCCGAGGGTGGTCGGGGCACAGCTCCGGGTACAAAAAGCAGAAACCCTGAGTGCGAAGGCAACCTCGGTGGCCAGCAGGACTGCTGGAGGTCGGACGGTGCAGTGGGTTTGCGCCTTTGTCAAAATTTTCAACCATAGCTGATAAGGGGGTGCACACCTGTAATCCCAGCTCTCCAGAGGCTGAGGCAGGAGGATCACCTCGAGTTCAAGGCCAGTCTGGTCTATATAGCAAGACCCCATCTCAAAAAATAAATAAATAAATAAAACAGCCTCAAAGCAAAACAAAAAGGGCTGAGGGTGTAGCTCAGCGCTTCCTGTGTGACGGGGATGTGGGGGAGGGGTGGGGTTTTTTGGTGGAAGCATCAACCGCGGAAGGAAAAAAAACGGGAAGGACTCTTAGGGGGAAGGCGGGCTGGGGACCAGGGTAGGAGCCTGCAGAGGTGGCCTGGGAGACCTGTTTTGTGTTCTACTCATCTTCCTGCTTGCTGTTTGGTTTGGTTTGGGTTTGGGTTTGGTTTTTGGTAGTAGGGATTAAAGCCAGGGCCTTTGCATTGAGTTTGTCTCCTGTCCCCCCCTTTTTTTTTTGGTACCGGGAATCGAACTCAGGATCTTGTGCTTGCCAGGCAGGCGCTTGTGCCACTGAACTACATCCCTGGTCCCCTCCAGTCCACTTTTTTTTTTTTTTTTTTTTT